TCAATCAAAACTGGTCAAATACATGCACAATGAAGATATCCATTCTCATTCATAACTCTTCTACATTTGCTGGTCAACCCACTGCACTCAGGTCACCTAAACCTCTGAGTACGGGCTCATTGCACAAGGCCATTTGTGAGTGAGGTCACATGATGCTAGTTTAGTCATTCAGTCGCGATTTGCTGTGCATCCCCCACTACCAAAGGTTTTATTTACAGAAGTATGATAAAATACGTTTTCAGTAAATTTTGGAAGATTGAATCTCTGCATCAGCAATGCATAGTGCACCACTTTTAAACACTTGAAGAATGTGGTCAAAGCCACACAACGCATCAAAACAACTTTGATACCCTTGCTCTTCCAAAAAACTTGACCATTAACTACACGTTGACACCCAGGTACAATGAGCTTAAATACTTAGTGTGGCAGGAGAGCATATGCAACATGTTCACATGTCCTAGATGGTTTGGACAAACTGCAGGAACTTTCCTTCTGTGGTTATTGCCAAGATATGGTGGTACTTCATGTTCTGCCCTTCTTTCATGTACCTCTTCCTATCACTAAGAGTAAATTAGGAAATAACTCAACTAAATTCAGCTGAGGATCCAACTACTATATTCCGAAGTTAATCATGAATGATAGGCTAGAAGCTGATGACAACCAGTGTTGACTATCCTCATAACTATGTTACTACTAAATCAAATCTTAACTTCAATGGTTCTGCCTTTTCTCAGAAGGAAGAAAATAAGAGTGATTTTGCAACATAAAATCATTTCCTCCTATCAAAAGCCTCTAAACAACTATTTGCTTAACGAAAATACATCTTGGATTTACAAGGAACCAGTAACACTAATGAATCAAATTACTAACAACTCAGTTTTCAAAAGATGAAGAAAAAAAATTAATGACAAAGATAATGTCAAGGACAATAATGAAGGTCATGACAGGCACAGATATCTATGACAAGAATATTGATAGCAGTGAGGATGAAAATAAAGACAAAGATAATCATAAAGAGAAAGAAAAATATAATGGTGATGAGGATGAAGCTACCATCTACTTCTTACCTTGACATTGACTTTGACAGTCCTAGGTGACTGCACTTGCAGTCTCTGGTCATCTGGGTCAAAACTGGTGGCTGGCAGGCGGACATTCTGCAAGGCTGCAACCAGGGCCACCAAAGCAGCATCAGTCAGATTCCCATCATAGTTGAGGCATACTATGTCACAGTACAGGCACCACACATACTGCAACAAGGCCCAATTTCCCTTAGAAAATGTATCAGTTTACTTCCATGCTAAGGGGAGTCATGGACATCTCCCACGCTGCACTGGGAGGTGTCCATGAGAGACATGGACCTTTCAAAGTTAACAAAGCAGAAATTGTGGATCTTGATCCTCTCTGTTATGTATCACAGTTTGACCAATTTTGGAAACCATGATCCAATACCACCAGTCATGTGCTTTAAAAGATTTGGAGTACTAGTCACAGCCTTTGATTAGTATAGTATCCTTAAGATAAAGCACCACAACTCTCATTTAACTTTATCTTTTTTTTTTTGTTGCAAAATAATAGTTGTTCTAATGCCCTGCCACATGACCACAAATCAAAATCAACTCTTATCCTTCGCTATATGAATATGTTATTCTATCTTATTCTACCATATTCCCATTACTAATTTTTAAAGTGCACAATTCATATTTTTTTTTTATATTATACTGTAGTATTTTGTCTTAGCTCTTTTACTATTAAGCTAGGGTCAAGTCGTTACTTCCTTGAGCCAGAGTGCAATTATTATGAAAGAGATCAAATCAGGTAAGGGCAGCATTATCAATTGTGATTATGTGTATGCAATTATGGACAATTAAATTAATGTTGTTAATTCTTTCTTTTTTCTACCTCTTTCCCAAATCTAGAACAAGGCTGAAGGGATGTGGTAAAATCTCTTCAAATATACTCAGTTCTGTATACTGTGCTCAATGGCTCAGTTGGCTAAAGTGCTCAAGTACTGATCTGGTGTTCTGAAGTTTGAGCCTCTGTGGTACTGCAAGAGATTGGGGCCTCAACTATGTCTAGCACACAGGGGGAGATGGCAACTTACCTGCAGGTCAAGGCTAAGCCATCTAGTGTCTGCCTAACTTATCTATATTGATAAATTCTATAAATAGTGTATAAATATGTGGGGTGCGGACCATTTTTTTTTACAACATTCCAATCCTGAGCACTGAAAAAAAGTTAGTTTTAGTGATAATTAAAATCTCATGGGCCTTAAAAAAAAACTTCCATCAGTGCTTCCAGCAAATTATCCAACAAATAAAATAGTAGCCACTTTGGCCTGTTTCAGCAGTCTAAAGAATCTAGTGATGTTTAAAAGGGAAAGAAAAAATCACTTTGTCATTATATCAGAACTATGGGTTATGTATAATAATAACAATCACTTTTAAGCCTTTATCTTGTAAGTACAAACATACCTTATTATTCACAATGCACAATTCTGTTAGGTCCAACATCCCGGAGCTAATAATCACGTTCTTTAGGAACTGACTTGTACTGATGGCTTTTTCTCCGGGTGGACCAGCCTGGAAGAATCAAAATCAAGCTCTTTTATCTGAGTACAAATCCAAAATAAATCATATAAATCATCAAATCTATTCTAAAGCATCTACCCTATTCTGACCAATCACCTTTCAACCATACTAATAAAGAGTTATTAATCCTACAGATGATAAATATCTTATATATATTACATATATTCACTGCCTTAAAAGGTACTGCAATATAAAAACCACCACCACCATTCCTACAACTGCCTATTACTACTATTACTAGTACAATTACTTATTCTTTAAAAAGCTACTCTTGCCACTACTCCTCAGACAAGTTAGTGTTCTTTCTACTTGCCTGGTTCCAAGAAAGCACTTGCCTTAAACATTGGTGAGCAACAAGCATATAATTCGACATTGGGAACAATTAATCCTTGATCTGGCTGTCGAAGAGCTGGCGTTGCTATTTCTGCCTTGATGCCGCACATGACAGTAGTATGACCCATGCGGACTGTGGAGGAGCCCTCAGCAGTTGTGACTGTTCCTACTCGGATCATGATATTGCGAGAATCTGTCAGACCTCGGCCATCTGGTCGCTTTTTTTTATCCAGAAAGCTCCTGTAGGAAAGAACTATATTGCTAAGCAAGTCACATCAAAAAGGCTTTTATATAAACCTTATACATTTTGTTTCAAATAAAGGGGTTAAGTGTGAAGTCATTTCTGTCATTCTGCTCCATCTTTTTTTCTTTAATATTGCAGTTTCTTTGGCAATTATGTCAAAAGATGAGAATGGCACATTCAATGTCACTACTTTTGGCTTTTCTATTAGTCTACTGATATGATGTATAGACCAAAAAAGTAATGAAAAGCTTGATAAGAGATTACTTAATGAGGCATGCAAAAGAAATTATCAGTGTGAATCAACATGGTTTTGTAATGAGAAATCATAACTTGTAATTTTTATCAGACATACTCAAGTTTTGGAATAAAGCCTTGGATAGTGGATATGGAACAGATATTGTATTTTCAGATTACAAAAAGGGATTTGATATAGTGCTTTACAGAAGACTAGTACAAATACTGGAAGAGTGTTTATATACTATTAGAGATAAAATTTTAAATAGGGATATTGTCTTTTTGATAGGGCTCTGATATAGACTTAGATAGCTCTGATAGAGACGTAGCCACAAAAGAGTCCAATATTAGACCTTGTGACCATAGCTATTTCACCTTTCCTTGAGTTTGCAGCAAAAACATTTTTTTACTAATGCTATCAATATCGATTGTGTTATTTCTATTATAGGTATTAAAATGACTATAATGTTATTGACATAAGTCGAGGCAATACAAGATAACATAAAAATATTTTTGAAAATCAAGTAAAAGGGTAAACAGGTGGGACAAGTAGTACTCATAATTGGCTCACTGATGACTTAGTACAAGTTTAGCCATCTCTGTGAAAAAAACAATTAATAAAGAAAACTCAAAGTGTGCTTGGCATGCAAGTACATGCCATGTCTACTGGTTTTGGGTTAAGATCTTTGAGGAATTTGTCAGGTCTGATATGAAATGGTATTTCTTAAGCCAGTGAACTGTGGAGCAAAAGAACAGACCTGATGAAGTAGATCAAAAAATGGTTTCTTGCTTTAAAGCTAAATATAAAAATTGCATAGACTTTAATGGATGTTCCTAAAAACAAAACACCCTTTAGCCCCTCCCTTTGTAAACATTGTATCCGAAACTAAAAGTGACTGAGAAAGAATGACAGGATAAATATTTTGAAGGAATCCAACAATGACTGACTAATAAGGGTTGTAACCAAGAGTGAAACTGCCTATAACCAACACTGTAACTAAGACTGCCTGTGGCAAGAAACACAATTAATTATGGCAGTGACTAAGGCTGATAATAACACTGAATGAGACTGTGACAACAGAGCCTGAGAATGACATTGGCTGAAATTGAGAATAACAGTGACAAGTCAACAACAGCATGACTATGACAGAGCCCAAGACTAAGACAGGTTTGCAGAGACAGTAAAAGTGCCTTCCTGCAATGACATGACAAATAAACACAACGACTGTAATGGAATCTGAACTAAAGTTGCAAATGACTCAATGTTAGCAACAGTGTTAAAGTCGGTCAACATCTCAATACCCGGCAATACCGTGAATGAGACACATTATTAAAAACTGATAATAATAACAAATTTATCGCCACCCACGAGGCATGAGTCCGTGGTATGGGTCCCCGGAGAAGAAGACTCTATGGAATTAAAGTTTCCTTTTAAAAATTCACAGCAACTTCCCTTCTAATTCACATGAACGCCCTTCTATTCGCATTTCCTTTCTCTGTTTAATTTCTACATCAAATGACAACAAACGCACCTATAATAGCTATCTGGCTCGAAGGATTTCCACGTCTCGTTGGTCGTCATGTTGTGGTTTTGTTGACAGCGGGCGACGAGCGTAAGAGCATTCGAGTCCGGACAAACTCGATTCATTTATTCATTTATTCAGTTAAAGTGGCTTTATGTAAAATTAGGATATCTAATTCCATTATCATTAAATTAAAGACATTTTTTTCACATAATGGTAAAATTTAGTTAAACTGTTATGTGAAAAAAATGGTAAAAAGATAATTTTCAAATGAATATGAGTTGATAAGTCCGCTTATCCGACTCAAAGACCACTGAAAACTTAGTTTCAGATATAACCGGATATTCTTATTGATAGAATAGCTGGAAATGGGGGAAATGTGCTTTAAGAGAAAAAAATAAGCCGAGGTTCTCCGGGGCGGAAAGGTTGCCCACTGTACAAGGAACTAAACGAGGCATTAATTCCACGATGAAAGACTTCTGACTGATGCTTCTATATCTTTGTCAGAATCTGTGTTATTCTGATAGGGAGGCGACATCAAAATACAGTTGCATAATCAAAGTTTCTGATCTCCGCCACGGACTAAATCGAGCGCTTTTAAATGTTGGGAGATGCTGCAGGTGCTATAATACACACTGGTTGGCGAAGTTGTACCAGAAAGGCTGCCGGTGGGGATTATTTTAGATAATAAAAGTCTGGGAGTAATATCTTGTTATTAACCATGGTAACAGACGGATATGAACATAAACTTTATCGGTCGACTGAATGGGTTCCCTCATCTCACTGACCCGACGTTCTCTTAAGTCCTTTCTGCTGATGAGAACTTTAATCATTACATTCGCATTTCATTCATATACTTTATTCTATCTTTATCGCATGTATTTGAAACTATAGCCGCGATTTTAGGGTTTCATATCGAGGGCTTTAAGCTTTAATCTAGCAAAATAGGAAGATCGAATCTAGCGCATTAGCAGGTCGAATCTAGCGAAAGGAAATATCGAATCCAGACGCCTTTAAGGTCGAACATCTCATGTCTCTCGGTCGACTAAAAAGACTCCGAGGTCGACCCCAGCAGGCTTCGAGGCGAATCGAGCGCAAAGGCAGGCCGAGCGTAGCGCCTGCTCAGCGCGCCGATGGCAACACCGCTCGAGCCTCGGGCGGTCGGCGACGAAGTCAACGCCTCGGGATTTCATCTCTTGCACTATGGCCTTTTTCACCCGCGGGGGAGTGAGAACGAGAGTGCTGGCGCACCTAAGACCTGCGCGATTCTACTCCGTGGAAAATAAGGTTAGGAGACGGGGCCACGGAGGAGATTTCCATTTTTATCCGGAAGAGGATTTTCTCGAGAAATTGGTGGGGGAATCCCCGCCGGGATGCGGTAGGCCTACCTCTGGGCTCAGGCTGACCCTTCCTATGGGGCTCAGGCTGACCTCTTCCTCTGGGGTTCACGCTGACCTCTTCCTCTGGGGCTCAGGCTGACCTCTTCCTCTGGGGCTCAGGCTGACCTTTCCTCTGGGGCTCAGGCTGACCCTTCCTCTGGGGCTCAGGCTGACCTTTCTTATGGGGCTCAGCCCCATAGGAAAGGTCAGCCTGAGCCCCAGAGGAAATATTAGGGGCTGCGTGCATAAAGTTCCCACAATGGATGGGCTGCAAAATTTCCACACATCTTATTGGCAAGATAAAAGGGCCTCATGAATGTCATCATAACTCATTTAAGGTGATGTCTCTGCGAGGAAAACATCTCTCGCCACTAGTTCGTTGCAGGCTTGTGCCATGATGCGAAAAAAAATTCACTGATAGCTTTCATTTAGTACCTAGAAGTTATATTGATGATTTTCTTTTTATTATTACTATTTTTATTATTAGTTCCAAAATTTGAGTTTAGGAATAAAAAAAAAGTAAATAAGATCAGTATTATTCAAAATATATACAAAAAATAAGAATTTCATGGGCACCAAAAACAGATACTTTATATTCTACGAAATGCAACATAAGTGAAGAAAATCTCAACCAAACTTCTTCAGAATTTAGGGCAGTGATGCCAAGTCACTAGAAATTATAGTGATGGTCCCCTTAAGTTGGATATTTATTTACATTGTTATCTTACTTTGGTTTTCTGATAATGCCCCAGAGCATGCATGAAATCCTTTAACCACCGTTCCCCCAAAAAAGGATGTAAAGGCTCGCAATAAATCCAGAGTTTTATTGGTCTAGTATCTCTAAAAGAGAATATTCCTGCATTAACAACCCTTTTAAAATCTAACATTTTCAGTAGGTTCAGGTAAGGATAGGTGTACTTTAGTGGATGCTGCTCTGTGCCAGGGTGATTTATTAGCTCATGATTGGGTGTCATCTTGGGAAATGAGACATTGACTCATCATTATGTCATGATGTCATAATGTTTCACCCGTCACCAATGGGTTAAAGTAGGTGGTCACCCACACTTGATTGAACTTGTAAAGACTAACGGGACAGTACCAAGAAGAGATCAGACATTTCCATTAACCATTTAATATAACAATTGTATCAGCCGTTGATATCCTTTCAGGCCGGCGTTGTGGTTGGTGTTTATGATAGTGATGGCAAGGAGACCCTGAGTGACGGAGCCCAGAATGTCAACACACAGTCATCTGGAAATCTAAGCCGACTCTTGCAATAGTAAGTGTTTGATGCAGGTTTCTCTCTCCTCTCGCCTCTTTCTCTCCTCTTCCTCTTATATGTGAATGAGTGTGTATGCAAGTGTGAGTGTGCATGTGCATGTTCATGTGTGTGTAAATAATTGAGTGTGTGTGTGTGTGGGTGTGTGTGTGCGTTTGCGTGTGCGTGTGTGTTCGTGCATTTGTGTACAGAGAAAGAAATTGATCAAGCAATTCATCAAATTTAATTCTAATGGAAGCATAACTTGCATAATTATAATGCTGCTTCTCTCCTCAAGTATCAGGTAACTATAAAGGGGGTGTAGATTAACCTGAAGAAGAAACACCACGAAAAATCATGTTTTGGTTGCATAAAAAGATTGAAAATTTGTTTACAGGTTAGGGGAATGCAACAAAGTATTTGATATAAGGTAACATAAATTGACAAACTGTTTATAGTCCATTAGAACGTGATTTAGAGACAGGTTAGCACATTCATTTTATTTATATGTTCCAACAGGGAGCACTTAAATTTTGCGTATACATTATCTGTGCACCTCATTCTTTCTTTCTTTGTGAATGTGTGAGCTTGTGTGTAATGATACAAGTTGTGGCTCTTGAACATTATCTAAGAATACAGACATTTGATGTCTGATGGTCTTTATTCTAAATCCTTTTAGGTCCCTACTTACTTTGTAGAGGGGAGAAACCTTTGAAAATGAGATTTTGAGTCTCTGCCAGTGAATATCAGATTCATAGAGATGGGAAAGTTAGGTTCTTTAGGTTGTCCTCTCTGAAGTGACCTGAAAGATGTCTAAATATGAACTTTTTTTTACCTTTAATGGGAATGTTCCTGAAAACTTGTTTGTTTGAATTCTGTCATTTGCCTAACATGCTTATACCGAGTGGTATCTTTCAGGTCACAGAGTTGTATACGTGTGGGTGAAGTGAGCGCAGGCGTAACTGAACACCAGGCAGGAGCTATTGCAGGGAGTAGACAACATGGCCTCCAATGAGACACATGTTGACGGCCCCAGCACACGCTTGGGGAGGGGAGTCAAGAGAACACACCCTATTGTGCTCAATGGTCTCGAAGATACCGCTGAAGAGATAAATTCAGATTATCTGTGTCCAGTGTGCCTTGACCTCATCTCAGAGGCACACGTAACAAAGTGTGGCCACACTTTCTGTCATGCATGCTTAGTGTGCAGCATAGAGACTGATAAACGTTGTCCCAAGTGCAATTTTGCTATTGATAGTGTTGAAAACATTTTTCCAAATCACACTGTGAACCAACAAATTTTAAAACAGCGTCGAGCTGTGGATCTGCAAACAGCCTTTGCAAAAAGACACAAGTCAGCAGCGCTTAGTGAACTGCGGAACTACCTAAGCTTTGATTCCTCTTGTCTTAGTGTTAGTGACATCTCTGACCTTATTAGTATTCTACAGGAAAAGAGAGATCAGATGGAAAATGCGTCAAAGCGCAACAAGTATGAACTCATGAAGGACTTCTTGTCTGAACTAAGGAAACACAAAGAGGAACAGTTGGATACAATCAGCAGGGAGTTAAAACTCATAACTCATGACTTGTCAAGTGTACAAACAAATCTTGAAAGTGTCTCACCATACAGTGATAGTCTAGTTAGCTGTGTTCCCCAGGGAAATAGTGTGCCAAATTCTAGTGGTGTGTTGCTGAACGAGATTCTCGATGCCGACTGCCCAGGAACCTCTAACGGCTCCCAGGATTCACGAAGCCCTACAGAGGAAGGATTCAATGTACCCTTATTCAGCCAGGCAAACCCTCAGACCTCCACCATAGATGCTAAGCGGAAGCGAATGCATCTGCATTTTAAGGAGTTGGTGGAACGATACTTCAGCATGCGCGTTCCTGGGTTCAGTGATTCTGGGGTTGAGGAAGGGGAAGGGAATGGTCTTGAACAGTTCGGAGAATGCATTAGTAAGTTTACCCAGTATAGTAGCATGCGACCTCTAGCTACAATTAATTATAACTGTGATATGTTTCACCAGTCAAGTAACATTGCATCTAGTATAGAATTTGATAAGGACAGTGAATTTTTTGCAGTGGCAGGTTTGACAAAAAAGATCCGTATTTTTGACTATGGCACAGTAATAAGAGATACAGTAGACCTGCACTATCCATGCTCAGAGATGATCTGTCCCTCAAAGATTAGCTGTGTTAGCTGGAATAATTATATGAAGCATATGTTAGCTAGCAGTGATTACAATGGAACAGTCACTGTTTGGGATGCTTTCACGGCCCAGCGGTTGCATGTTTTTCAAGAGCATGAGAAAAGGTGCTGGAGTGTAGACTTTAACAGAATGGACACAAAGCTTGTGGCCTCTGGCAGTGATGATCACAAGGTAAAGCTGTGGTCATTAGACAGTGAGAGGTCTTTGACATGCCTGGAAGCCAAAGCAAAT